AGAAAAGGAAACAGTAATTATGACACACTATGTGATTATATAAAGCTTGTAATTTTTGAGTCCTACATCTACTAGTGCATGCCTAGATATTATTAATGTCATATTTTCTCACAATGTGTGTTATTGTTATTGTTGAATCATTGTATGTATTTTTAAATATTAGATACATATATAAAGCGGACATTATGTGGCACATTTTAAGTAGAATATTATAAATAATGTTAGATTATCATCTGTAAGTCATTAACACATTATATTATAAAATGCTTGCTTTTGTTTGTGTTAATAGAGATAACTACTTTTAGTGATCGTGGTGGGTAGGACCTATAATTTCTTAAACGTTTTTATTTGTAAGTAAATAATAATAAATAAGCGTAATACTTTCGAAATAAACACTTTGAATGACTGCCCAATCTTTGTTTTATAATGTGGTATTTTGGCCCGTATTTCAAAAGTTTTTAATATTCTTTGAACGCACAGGTCTGACGTAGTAGAGAGGAATTATCTTTAATTTTATTTAACGATCAGTAAAAGGAAGTGTAGAAGAAAAGTCCTGGTGTAACAATAACGAATCATAAATAAATACCTTGCTAAAATTTCTATTTTCAAGTTCACGAAAAGTGATCCAACTTGAACTACGTGAATAATAATAATGTCACTGACCTATAATTTCATAAATAATATCAATGACGACGTACCATTGAACATTTTGCACCTTTTTTCAAGACCAAATTAAATATGTTACTCTTCTTATTCTCTGATACTACCAGTGATGAGGTTTCCACATCTTCTGGCGAAAAGGCATGTAGCGGTGATTCTAAAATGATTTATTATATTTACTTGAAATAAACACCTTTCTACCCCTTCATCTTCAATGCCTCGCAAAAGCTGTCCACCCTGACATGTTTGATTTTATGATTTTAATAAGAATAGTCGGAATAGCTCATGCTCTGTGGGCGATGGCAAATATTACATCGCTTACTTTAATCGAAGGAAATAGATTAGAGTGAGTGCACTCGATATTATTATTTCATACAATTTTAGATATGTACCAACATACTATACTACTGAACATGATACCGTTGCGGAAATTAATTTTTGTGGAAGCAAGCAGTTAATTGGAAAAAGAATAAAAATGTCACCTTGACAAAAACGACCTCGTTAATGACATGCGTTAATGCAGTTCGCAACACGTTCATATTCCTCTGTGCGATTAGTAGATAACAGGGAGTTTTGCGTCGGCATTACCAGTTCAAATGCAGTTATAACTCAAATTCAAAGCGATAGTGATAAAGAGCCACTAAAAGGGCTTAAATGGATTGTAAAGAGTGGTTTTCCGAGGGGTAATCACTTAATCGCACTTCAAAACTCTAAATTTAGTTTTATGGTCGTAAAATTAATTTTGCATTTGGAACAACAAAATACAAGTAAATAATATGGGACAATGATTGGCTGGCCAGATTGATTTCCAGATGAATCATTATTGTCCTAGTTGCAGTATGTAAATTAAGTTAAAGGAACGTTCTACTAGAACGTAATGACGTAAATTCAAATTAGTTTTTTTGGAACTGATTTCCAATAATAACTATTAAAATGTTTACATTTTTAATCGTGCAAGCAAGAAGTACAGTACTTACTTATATTTTTACCAGTAAGTATAACAGAGTCCTGGGTGATGACCTGTATAAAAAATATATTTACTGCAAGGGTAAAATTAGTTTTTATTTCTGATGCGTAGATACATTTTACGGAAAAATTTTGCTAATAATAATTTATCGTAATAGCTGTAATATAGAGTACCTTGATTAAAAAAAAATTCCAAGAGTTACCGAAATGCCGCAGATAAGGATGATCACGTTTGCTTACATTATCACATAGCATTGACATTATCGTTATTTTGGTGGAAAGTTTATAAAAAACATTTAAAAAAGAGTGCTTTTTTACAACACTTCCACCCTCCATTATTATTTTTGATGCATTTTACTTAATGTTTTACCGTACAGAATATAGAGCACGATTTTTTGTGTTTACATTGAAGAATATAATTATTGTGTTTATTACCATAATATATTTAAATGAATGAGTTTTTGTTAAAATAAATAAAAAGATAAAAAACGAAATATGTTTGTTCTGTGCTTCCAATCCTCCATGCAGCTTCATACTTACATTGATAAAAAAAATGGTAGTTGTAACATGTTTGCAAAATCCTTTAATGCTGTCGAATGATATTTTAACTTGGTTCAAATTTTTTAAAACAAATTTGATATTGCTGAAAGTTGTTTACTCCGCTGTACCCATTGAATATGGTATTAATTCGATCAAAACTTTGGGACTTTTTAGACGGTCTATACAAGCGTAAAACTGGCTTGAATGTATTAAAATTGTGATGTCATAATCTTCTTTTCTTTAAATATTAAACTTTATTTTGCAAGGCAAATTTTTAAATAATGACAAAAAATTACGTATATTAATGTAAAAGTGGTGACCGAAATTGTAAATATTTCGACCTATTGTTACATAAAAATATGAAAGTAACGTAAGTTAACAATACCTCAAACGAAGCATTCTTTATGGGAATTTATTTCAACAATAAATTTGAATATGTTTGTTCTGTTAATGCTGTCAAAGTTCTGATGTCATCAATGTTTTTTTGGAGAGGAATTTCGATGCATATTTTAAAACAGCTTTTAAGTATATACGTGTGTGTGACTTGCAAAATGATGATATAGTTTTTGCGAATTAAGATGGAATTGATGGTTTCATAAGTTCATAACTTTGACTATTACTAGATTATTTTATTTATTACTAAAACTGTTCGAGTTCAAAATTCCACACGAACATTTTAGACATTTTTGTTTGTGATTTTCTTAGCAGTAATTATGGCCTAAAATAGTGATAGTATTGATATTTTGATCGTCCTCTGAAGTTTAAATTTACTGTTAAGACATTTGTTTCGTTCATGTTCTTTCGATTTTTCCGTATAGAATTATCTTTTCTTATCTGTTATTATTAGTTTAATACTTATTTACCTTACAACGAGAATCATATTTCTATGTCAACAGCGTACATTTCATTTAATCTGCGATTTTAGAATTTATTTAAAACCAATTTAAATAAAAAAAAACAATGAGTGTGGCAATGTAACTTAACTGAGTTAATTATAGTATGTTACTTAAATTAAAAAATTGGTCAAAGGTTATTTCGATAGAACTTGCCCCTACCCCCTGAAATACAATAAAAAATATCCAGCTTTCTCTAAAAATTATAAAATTTGATTTTGCGAATTTTATTTTTTTTATGAGAACCCCTATAAGTTATAATAAATGTATGTATGTAATGTTAAAGAAGCGTGTTATGCATATGTTTCAAATGAGTTTTTCCTTTACAAAATTTTGTGATGAAGTCATCAACATTTTTGCAATGATATGTATATCATTTTGGATAGGGGCAGTGTTATACTAATAATAATAATAATGATATTGTATTCCCAAATTTTAGGGAAAATGGAACGAGCCGTTCCTGATTTAATCAATAAAAATAAATTGACTCATTCATTAATTTATTTGAGTCAGCCTGTATAAGCAATTTAAAAAAATATGAATGCAATGATAAATCACAAGTCATAACCTTTTGCACAATTGCGATAGGATTTATTCGGCAAGATTTTAAGATCACGTCATCAATTTTTTGGAGGTGGATAAATAGATATATTTTCGTTTAAAAATTTACCATGCTTACGATAACTTTAAAACGTCTCCAAGATTTTAGGACATTCGGTTTTGCAGGTTCAAAATTAAATTGAAAAATGTTGTTACACAATTTTGATTTTTTTCCAAAAATCTGGATATATCGGGTAAAAAATCAACACATTTACTATGTATAATTAGATAAAGTTTGGTAGTTTCGGAGCTTATCTGTCTAACAAAAATTCACACGACGGTGGATAGACAGACAGACTGACTGACAGTCGCCCGATGGACTCAATTACAATACTTCCTTAGCATATGCTTGGGAAGTAAAAAGTGAGATAAGTGAACTTTATTTATTAATAAATTACTCTATACCTACAAAAGTTAAGTTATATAGTTACCGAATTATTATCTGTAATAAAAACAGGCAATGAATAAGTATAATAATAATAAACATTAAGTTCAAAATTATATAAGCAACTAAATGATGTCTGGTGCAGACAAAGATGTAAATCGAGCAAAAAAAAATAATATAGTAAAATTTAAATACGATAACGCTGCCGTACGCCGCACATAGAAATAACTGAATTTGTTTTCCGATAATAACAAACACGACAACAATGATGTCATAAACTTTGTTTTTATTACATGCAGTAAGTCATAAAGGTCACTACTAATATTAATTTTTTAGTAGACCACTAAGTTTAAATATTTATAAATATATATTTATTGTGTTTTCCATGATTTTTTTTGTATTTTTGTATATGTTGTGATATGTTTTAATTCATTTTCTCTTCCGGACTTCTCAGTAGAGAATAGAAAGCAAAACAACAAAAATAACAATCAATCAGAACAAACAATATATATTTCTTAGAATTCAACAAAAGTCCATTGATTATGACATCGAGTATTACCTACCGAGGAAAACGTGTACGTATGTACAATTTTCAAAAACAATATAATATTTCTAACCGAGAACAATATAACGTACTTGTAGTTCCCCAATCTTCTTATCTACAATTACAAATGAATCGCGTCAATAAAATTTATTTTTGATTTAGTGAAAAAACACCGGATATGACCATTTACAGAAATCTAAAATTCTTGCAACGCAAAAGCTCTAACTTTTCGGAATAAATTTTTCCGGAGTATTTGTCTCTGGCGATTAGCCAGAATCCAGAAAATATCATTTCAAGAGTAACATGAATAATTGTATTTACACTCTTAGTATATTTAGTAATTTTACCATTCGGCATGTACGAATCTGCGCGTTGTTCATCAATCCGTGTGGGTACTTAAAGAAAGCTCCCTGCTCAAATATTGCAGTTTATCCTCTGAAACGCTGAAATCGGTTCGTCAAGTATGCCAATGTCCAGATAAATACGGGTACACTCGAGGTTTCCATTTATTGTCAAATGTATCGTCGTAGTGATAGCGCGGAAACTATGGATGGGCGGTTTACACTTCAACCAGCGAAAGACAGTGGTGGCGTAGACAATGGTGCTTTTCAGTTGCACGAAAACGGAGTTACAAAAGAAGACACTCTCAGTGACTTGAAACCGACACCTCCAAATTCGCACTTCGTCCCTCAGAAACGGAAAAAGTCTCTCGTACAACTTACGCGAGAAGCTTTGCCCAGATTAGAAAACTACAGAAATTCAAGAAGGGCTGCCAAGAGACCTTCACTGGGAGAATTACACGGAGGAGAAGATACAGTAAAAGTATGTTGATTTTTTTTTTATGCATTTATTGCGGTACCTGCCGATAAAATTGAAGGCAGTTCATACCGGAATATACTCACTAGAACAAATCATTACGAGCCGGGACATCTACCTTTTTGGAATTATTACGCGAAAAAAACTTAATTATCTTGCATGAGCACGAAAGAATATGTGATTTCGCGCGAAAAGTTTTTTTTTTAGCTAATTGTGAACTGTTATATTATATAATGATAATGACAATACTGTCATAAAATTATCGCCTGAGTATGTGTAAAAATCGAAATGGTACGTATACATCACTGGAATTATACGATTTTATACCATTTTAAAAACGTTTGTGCGTGAGTGATTACTGATTAGTGATTACTGAAAAATTGTTATTTTCATTGTTGTGCACATGTTTCAGTAGTATTTATGTGTAGGTGCAAGGTTTTAGCATATTTTAATTATCTATGTAGTTAGATAAAAGAAACAGTAAAAAAGGTGAATTTCTAAAGACATTTACATATTTTTGCTAGTTATTATTCCAATGATAAGAAGTTAACCGAGGTCAAACGAGAATATACCACGTGTATTAGGTAGTATTACTAAGTTGCCCCTTCTAATAATAATCTGTAATTATTTAGTACTCCCTTATTGCTTTGTTCAATTATTATTATTGCTTAAAAATAAAACTGTGCAATTTTGTTATAATACTGCTAAGCTCAAGGCGATTTTTTTTATAAATTATGACTACATACTTAGTAAAATATGTACATAGCAAAAACGATGAGTGCAAGCTAACAAAAATAAATTTTTGCACATGATTTTGATTAAGTGTTAGAATTATTTTTCAACTAGAACAGACTAGTTCTAACAAGTTTGTAATACAATTTATTAGTATATATATATGTATATTTTTTTTAGAAAAATTGACGATAAAACCATGCAAAGAATAGAAATGTATTTTTTTTAATGTTCACAAAAAAATTGGTTTGGTTTTTATTTCATTTACTAAAACAATTCCAATGAGACTAGCATTATGTGTGAATAAAGTAAAGGTAAATAAAAAAATAAACACAATCGTTGTATACAGGATGAGTCACTAAGTTCGCAGTCCTCGATATCTCATTAATTAGCAGAAATAGAAAAAAAGTTACCACTAAAGTTGTGCCAATTTTTGAGTGACATGCATTGAAATTGTTTTCGATTATACATAGTGTTTGGTTTAGACACATAGCACACAACATAATTTGCTTTTTTAAATAAAATACTCTTTATATTTTTATTAGCCTTTTCCTAAGCTTAATAAACATAATTAATTATTCCATTTTTTCTTAATTTGTTTAACAAAGCAAGGGTTCACAAAAAATCGTAGTAACGTTATTTTTGATATGTGTGTTGCAATATATTATGGAGAAACAATCATAGGTACGCATTTTGTTTTCCTATCAATTAAATAAAATTTTAATATTCAGAGTGTTTATAAAAAACAATACACTTTACAAATTTCATCATTTTCAAATATCGATATTTCTGTTTTTTTCAAATGAATATCCTGTATTTTATTACTGCAGCTTACTCTCTATTTTTTGGTCTCTTTATTTCAATGTGTCGGTGTCCATGAAAAAAGTAAAAAGATCTCAATAATCAATATCGACTTTAAACATAGAACATACTTGACAAAAAAGAAAAAGAACAAAAAACAGAATAAGATGCAGTAATAAAATATAGTGTGTTCTATTTGAAAAAACTGAAATATCGATATTTGAAAATAGTTAAAATTAATTTCTTTTATAAACACGCTGTACATTTATTAAAGCGCGTATCTTTATTTATTTCTCCACAAAATATTATAATCCCGGTTTAAAAAATAGCCTTGCAGCGATTGTTTGTGAACCCTTCCATTGCTAAAAAATTTTAAGAAAATTGGAATAACTCGACAACGTCGTAGCGAAATTTCGAAATTAACTATATAAACTAAACTATAAAGCTTCAGAAGAGGTCCATCAGAATATCTAAAAATATATACACACATTAAAAACAGAACATTCTGTAAAGTTGAAAACAATTCTAATGTATGGTTCTCAAAAACTTGTACGACTTTAATATTAGACTTTTTTATATTTCTAATAAATAATGAGATATCAAGCAGGGTATGGTTAGTGACTCACTCTGTATAATGTAAAAATATGCAAAAACTATTCTGATAATAGTGGTCTACGAAATGAAACATTCTACAATTACCAGAAATGCAAATACACTTCCTAATCTATTTTTTACTTATTATCTGCTTCGTACAGTCCTCCTATTTTTTTCTTGATGATTTTTTTATTGTAGATGGTGTAATTAACAGCTTACAGTTATGTGCAATTCACTGGGAGTCATTGTAAATTATTTAGGTTAAATTTTGTCGAAATCGATTTAGCAATTAATGATTTTAAACATTATTATCTACAGTGTTTTTGATAAGAAGTTTAGGTATTTATACAGGATTAAACACTAATCCCACGCATTGCTAATAGTCGGAATTTATTGATGTCGTGATTTTTTGTTAAATCTCATCCTAGTAGGTATTTAATTGATAATAATAATAGTTCTAATTTTTACAAAATTAAGTATAATCCTAGTACTACAGTTCATCCTTTTTTAAGATTATAGTAGTGGTGGGAGGTAATTAACTCATATATACAATAATAGAAAAAAACTAATACGAAAAATTGTAAAAGAATAGCTGAAAATAACTCAATGAACGATAATAATAATTATTATAATAATTATATAATTAAATTGTTTCATGTTTCAATAATATACCAAAAATAACTTGAACTTATACTAAGTACGTTACAAAATCTGCGAGATTATTAATTATTGTTTATTAATTCTAGTTATGTACAATTTAACAACGTAGCAAAAGCAAAAATTAGTCTTCAGGAGGACTCTAAATTACGTTTTTCCTAACCTAACGTTTTTATAGATTTTGCTAGAGTGTGAATGGAGAATTATCCTATCACTTCACCGGCCCCGTTTTTGGGCCCTTCTGTCTTCTGTTTTATTGTAATACTACGTATATGTGTGTTGTCCAGACGTTATTATTATATTAGTCGGCCTATAATGCAGTGTTGTTGACTATGTCCCACTATAGCTAAACTCCAACTTTGGAAAATAAACTAATAATTCGCATTTTTTATGATAGCAATCTCAATTCAACATTTGCTCAATAGGTATTTCTCCCCCGCACTAAAATAACTTATCAAAAACGGGTAAAACCTATATTGAACGCAGTAGCCTTAAAGCAGATACACTACACTTGAGTATATAGAGTAAGGTAAAAAACTGATAAAACGATTGTTTTGATTGATCGTTGGTTTAGACCTAAGGTATCTGACTGAAACTAGTTTTTATTTGAAAGTTTTGGTTTAATGCTGTTTAATAATAATAATCATAATTTTCTAATTTTTTACTGCACAACGGTAATATTTCCAGCATTGGATTTATTATTTTTTAAAATAATAATTTCAACTATGAAACACATCTTTAGTGAATCGGTTTGAAAATTTTGGATAACAAAAGAACATTTTAAAACATGTTCTATAAGATATGTTTTTTGAATGACATTACTCTAATACAGCTAAACCACTTTGGTTAAATCGGCAACGTTGTTATACCTATATAAATCTGATAAGATAAATAAATGGATAATGTAAATGCCAATGTAAAAATATCAAAATTTCAAAAAATTGCGATTTATCATTTGTGATAAAGATTTTATTTCTTCGTAAGTCGAGGGTCACTAAAAATTTTACTCAAATCATAATTGTTCTTGATATTTGTGTTAATATATTAGTGGATTTTTAAATGGTTTTCATGTTAGGTATTAGTACGTAATTGATATTGCAAAAATATTTCAAAATTTAAACGCTGATAATAGTAATAATGTTTTAATCCTTCCATTCTACAACAGGAATGTTTTATATTAAAGCAAATACTTATTACTACTCAAAACGGGGATGTTGCTAATAACAAAATTATGACATTCTAGTTTTTTAATAATAAACTAGGAGTAATTTATTTACTCAATTTCAGTTACAAATAGGTAATCATTTTATTTGTCTTCGACTTAAAAGCAGATCCTACTTTGGTGCAAAAGGGATCAGTTACCGATAAAAATATTTTTGATATCTTAAAATGTAGAAAATTGTATGTATAAACGCTTTGATACTACCTTATACCTATGCTGAGATTATTCTGTGCTAAAAAAAACTCCCTAAAATGTACGACTGAACGCTATAGTTTTGTCGTTAAGTTGGCGGTATGAACTTAATATATCATAACATTCTTAACTCACTGCCATAACATTTATTTGCACTGATAAAATGCATGTGACATTTGTAGATAAAAAGAAATTGTATGCATGCCGATATCAGAAGTTAGCGAAAACGAAAATACTTATTTAAATATATATTTTTGTAATCAGAAAACCCAAAAAGTTTGTATCAACTAACCGAAATGTATTTTACTTTAATATTTTATAATTATAAAGAGTAATCAAAGAAAAAGTTTCCACATGTATGATGTATGTACTGTACAGTACAAACTAACACCAATCCTACTGTGCCAAATTAACCACTTTTGAGACATTGGATAAAATAAATAGATTTATATTTTTTTGAGGAATTTTAATTGAGAAATTCTAGAAAAGAAAGTACGTAAAACTAAAGTTGCTGTTCTATAAGCGCTAAACTAATAAGATCATAGTGTATATCAAATTTTACAAGTTTTGTCACAACACTATGAAGGAATGTAAAATGTTAAGGTATTTGAAGAGTTTATTACGTCAATAGCAAACAGTGGTGTAATTCAATGCCTTTTCAAGTAATGAGTAATTGCAATGTATTACTGTCCAAAAAATGTAATGAGCAAATTACTTTTTTTGAGTAATTCAGTACTTTTACTATTATTTTTTGCAATTACTTTTAACCCAATAATACTCAAAAATATTGTTTTGTTTTTCTCTTCGAATCGTTTACCTGACGTGCTGGGATTGTTATACCTGATTTGTCTCCACAAAAAGAAGATTAACCCAGTAAAAAAGGCCCGGTATTTCAGTTGTTGGTTAAGCCAAGAAATTATAGTTCACCAAAAAAGTTTTGATTAAGCGTATTTCACTGCATGGTTAAGAATATTTGATGGTTAAATTTTTTGCTTAGTTAACCAAGCCCAGCGAGGTAGGTTAACAATTATTATTTTCTTGTTAGCACATGCGTTTTAAGGACCTGATTGTACCTGACTAGTTATGACGCACGTATTGGATGATATGATCAACTCCTGTTACCTATTCTGTGGATATCGCACATGATGGGTTGTGTCTTTTAAATACATAACTACATACTTATATACCTATACAAAGTTGTTCACAATGAATATAAGTAAACGTATTTTGAAAAAGAAGTTTCCAGTCATAAATTTGAAAGATAAAATAATCTTTGAGTATCAGATTCTAGAAATTTTACGATAAAATTAAAAATTCGTTCATCGTCTGAGCCTCTATCATTAGGAGAGTAAATATTTGCCATTTTCTTATGATTCACTTAAAATATAACAATACTTTTTCACGGGGAAAAAAACGTATATAAGACAAAAATGAGGTTAAAAATAGTCAGTGCTCATTCACAATGGGCATAAAGCATAAGGATGTCATAAGCATTAATGCATAAAAATGTATGTTTAGTGCTCTATGCTTCACAATGAGCATAATGCTTAGGATATCCTTATGCTTTATGCCCATTGTGAATGAGCACTGAACAGTCTGTATCATGTCCGTATATGCCGTTTAATCGTTCAAAGTATGAAAGATTATAGGAGTATCTAGACTTTTACGCATGCTCCTTTGAACTAGTAAGACCAATAATGCTACCAAATTAAGAAAAATGTTGGTTAGATAACCAAGATATACTTAACCAAAGTTTCGCTACTGAAATACCGGTTCTTGGTTAAAGTTTTGGTAAAAGCGTAACCATGCTTTGTTAACTACGATTTTAACCAACAACTGAAATACTGGGCCTTGGAGTTAAAATCTAAAACGAGTTCAGCAGAGAATTTGTTAAGAAACCAGGTAACCATAATATATATAAGCTCTTCATCATTTTAAGGGTGAACGAAAGCATATTCTAGCATAAGGAAATACATATAAACTTCTGCCCAAGTTTTTGTCAAAATTATACGTCCGATTGTAATAACCTTCACACCGTTGAAATGAGTGTAAAAAACCCTATCCAGACTGCTTTTCGGTTTTTTAAATTTTGTTGTCAAAAAAAAAACAGCGCGTTAAAATTGTGATGAGTATGAGATTATCTGGTTTTCGCTATTTATGGATCGATTTTAAATATTCGAAAAGGTACATTAGTAGAAATTGTATTAAAAAATCCATTGCGCTTTACAGAAATAAAATATCTCAATAAATAATTGAGTAAACAGAATATTTAAAATTTGTGGTCAAACAAATTTTAGCCATTTTTCTGGTCCACTCAATTCTATAACCGATGGAGCCCGTCCTTTTAAATCCGTCATAATCCGACAATAAAATTTTATGAGAGTGTCCACCCTCTAAGGTTTTCTAAGTTTAAACTGTAAGTCACAACGCCAAGTATGAGGCAATTAAAGACAGACTTTTAAGTTTACATAATCTTGTAGCCCCCTTCTAAGTATATAGGAACACCCTTTATATTAAAGATTAAAAGATTTGCGTCCGCAGGTAATTATCGGTGGACTAATATTTACGATATTTACACGTAGCCAATAAGAAATTTTGAAATCTCCCACCAATGCAAATTTTTGTTTAAACGTTGTTGCAGTTGGCATCAAATTTTTATTTGTAGCTAGAGTGGAATGAAATTAGGCGCAAAAGAATCGGCTCTTTAATTTTTGGTAAAATATGTAACATGTTGCCACACAACAATTCCATCTAGCGCCGCAGTGGAAAGGATGTTTTAATGTTGGCGCCGACATTTTTAAGACAAAACGTCATGCCTTAGCTGACCAAAATTTTGAATGTCAGTTATTATTGAATTAAAATTATGAATATAGTCCTCTCGCGTGAAGTATTTATTTGTTTTATTTTATTTACTGATGTGAATATGTAACAAATGCGTTAGTAAAATAAATCACTCACTGCGTTTTTCATTCTAATACGTTTTTTCTTGACCCTTTGTACCCATACCACAAATATCTAGAATTGTGTTTTCATCAAATTTTTCAAAGTCCAAAAGTAGTTGTTACAGTATTTCATTAGTTTTTAAAAGTAATTGTTCCTATCACTGTTAGCAAAATGCTATAAAATTTCCGACCTTTGAGGTAGATGTCATCTTTGAGAAGTAATACACAAAATATGTTATTATTACTCAGTATGATCTAAATATATAGGTATTTTTTAATTTGTCGCTCATAATGACTGACTGGTCTAAGTTTTTAAGACCCCGAATTGTCATTGTGGCTCGCAATACTTTACATTATTTATGTTATTTTAATGATGAACAACAGTTAAATCGCAAATTTACTCATGAAGGCAAGGTAAATAAAAACTCTTTCCATAAGCTAGACTGCGTTTCGTCCAGGTATCATGTATAATAATTACAATAATAGCAATAATGGTAATTTATTCACAACCAGCAACAAAATAACAGTGCATAAATGAATAAATTTGAAACGTCTGGGCTAATATAGACCGAGCATATTTTAAAATTTTGATATAATTTATATCTGACATGCTGTACAAAACCTTATTTTTATAATAAAAATAAGTATTTCTTTAATTCAATTCTGTGGATCGTATTATTTCGTTAAGTCATTCATTATCTAAAATTTTAATCAGAATGCCTGACAAAATACGATAAAGCATCTATCAGACAAAGAGAAATATCGAACGAACGAACGTCTCTAAATATGTATTAATTAAAGGAATACAATACGGACCTGTGAATTTAATTTTTTTTTTATTTTTAGCACAATTTTAAAATTGAAGGATTTTTTAGACGACATGAATATGGGTGCGAATCTACGTTGTCAACATAAATGGATATAAAAAGTTTAGTTGGCTGCAAATTTATAGAAAGTACCTACTAATTTAAACAAATCCGTAAAATTGGGCATTAATATCTTCGTAATAGTAAATAATTAATTAATTTTATTTAGGGACACTAAAAAAGAAAGTTAATCATAGAAATAAAGGAGAAGATTAGTTTAGTCAAAGAAACAATAGAATTAATATCGATCATTAATGAAAAATTTAGCAGTACTAGTAGTAATTTTCAATTTTTCAAATTTATGTGTGAACAAAGTAACTTTTTCGCTGGCTAAAATGAAAGGACAGCTATATATTTTGTCTATTTTTTTTTTCAGCAAGACCCCAACGGTGTTTTAGAACAAGACTCCGGTACTCCAGGAGGACACGCAGGCATTAAATTAGGATGGATTCAAGGCGTATTTATACCATGTCTTCTCAACATCTTTGGTGTTATGCTATTCCTGCGTCTTTCATGGGTGGTGGCTGAAGCTGGAGTTGGTAAGTTTAGTGTCAGTTTTAAACTCAAATTCGAGGTCGTAAACCTTCTGGGTCATCACTGGGTCTGGTTTTGTCTTTTAGTTTTTTTGGGATGGAATAACCAGGTAACAATTCAACTTCTGCAACAACGTTTAAAACGTGACATTACTTTAATAGAAGAGTAATTTTATGAAGTGTAATTTTGATTAAACGAATTTGTTACACTAACTTTCGTGTGAACAACAGATTACATCTGCACATTGTTTATTTTTATATTTGCCTCTTGGTGTCCTTTTCGGTAGGCTAATTACAATGGATTTGTTTTAACGATCATTACTAAAATAATTCCATGGTTTTACGTGAGATTTATTTTTCATTAAATGTAAATAGTTTACATAGAAAGATACATGCGTAAGAAATATTTAAAAAGATTTCTGTTGTTTGGTAAATTATTTTAATTTTCAGTATTTATTTCAGTTAATATTTAATAGAACTGTCCCAACAGTGTTTGAAGTTCTTGTTAGCAGGCAAGACATTTCAAATGACATTAATTAAAATAAAGAAAACAGTGATATAATTAAAGTTAGTAATAAAACTGTCAAGTTTGTTGTCTGCTGAAAATTTATCGATCAGTAAATCTTGTTCTAATGAATTTACCTACGACTCTAACCTTTGTTGTAATTTTGTGTTTCAACAAAAAAACGATAAATTTTAATACACCTACCCCAATTTGGTTCGGTGTGATGAGATTATTTGTAATACTACGTAGTACAGTGATTTCTAAACAATTTGTCAATGGAAGTCTTCGGTTTCAAATAAAGGCTAAAATTGTTTAGTTCTAATTTTAGTTTTCGATATTTAAAACATGGTACTCCAATAATTAAACTTATTTTAACAGTTGAACAACGAGTATCTTATATTAAAGGATAGGTATTGTGTAGATAATCATAATTGTCATCAACTTATCAAGATTTGGTATTACGGTTTTCGTCCATTTGTTATACCTAGTTCACTTGAGTGATACAAGATTAGTTTTTGTGCTTGAACAGGGCAAATAATTTGGGGCCTATTTTCTTTCCCACAAACGTTAAACTGTAAATTCTACAAGTAATAGTTTTCGATGATTTCAATTTATTTAAGGATGCTCAATCTTTTTAGTAATAAAAAATCGGTTGAAGACAGAAGTTCAAAATAACAAATGAGGGATCCCGCTTCTTTAAAAAACCATAAAATTCAGTTTTGCGGTTTTTGTAGTTAGTGATAAAATACTATTATACTATGTTAATTGTTTTGCGAAAATCTGGACGTTTTGGGTAAAAACTCAAGGCAGATTCGTACACCATAAACATAGGAGTATATTGTTGTATAACAATTAAATCATTTAAAAATAGAATTCTTTGAGATGATGTCATCAAATTGTTGGTGGGGATGGTTAACCAAATTTTAGTTAGCGTTTATCTGTCTACATGATATTCCAAATATATATATACAAAATTTGACAACAATCGGTCCAATAGTTTCGGAGATTACGTCTTTAATCAAAATCGACACAGACAGACAGACGGAAACGGAAAATTATTTTTTTCATGAAACTGACAAGTCGCCCGATGGACTCGATTACTATATTTCCTTGGCTTACGCTCGGGAAGTAAACATATCTTCGATGTACTAGTGTTACACATGTATAATATAAATTCTACTATCGCAATCATCCTGGTTTTTTTGCTTGGGCACTGATGTGGTTGTTGACAGCAATAGTATTTAACCGTCAAGTAAATTTTATGTTTGTTGGTTATTATTTAATACTATTCAGTTTTCTCTGCGTTCCCACTGTTTCTTACTTTTATTTGTATAATAGTTCCACATCCAAAAATAACACTTCACGCACTGCACAGTGTATTTGTTGGTAGAAAGAGGAAGGTTTCGGGTTGTATTGAATGAAAGGATCAGACCCTTCAAATGTTGAATACACACTTTAAATAAACTTTTGTTGATTGTAACTATTTTTCTTTCATTTTCTTTTCATACATAGAGTAGATTTTTTAATCATTTTGTTTTCGATCGCAGGGTCCCTCCTCACTATCTAGCAAAACCATTACCAAGGGAACGGGCTTGGATTCCAAAATACTCCTAATTATTATTAATTATTTTGAAATCCGTTGGGTAGAGGAATTGCTAGAGAAAGCGTTAAAAGGTATACTTCTGAACAAATTTGACAGATTTATTATAAAAATCAAATACACAATAAAAAACTAATTAGTGTTGCACTGCTGAATACCTCATTTTAACAATTATTACAATAAAAGAGTATGCGAAACAAAAAAGTTTTCTATCAATTAGAGGTGATAGATTCATTTGACCCATAATTTGTATTTAAATGTATGATTACTTATATAATACACAAAATAACGATAAAATCAATTGCATTATTTTGTTCTATACAATGAAATGAATTGAAATTGATTTATAAAATACTAATCTAATATTCTGCCGAATTTCATTTGAAAATTCTTGCTGGAAAACTTATTAACACGTCCCAAAATTTTTAGCAGAAAAGTTCACAATCATAGAGTCATTTCTGATTCATCTGATTTATCCCCTTAGAGGTTACTAATACAAGTTATATTTTAACTTGGACTTCTGTTCCGTATATTGAACCATAGGCAAGTATAATTATGTATATGGGAAGTAAATTTATGTATTTAAATAGTAGAATAGAAACGTTCTTCTTTTAATGATAAATCTTTTTTAACGTTACTTACATTAAATTTTTTAGGCTAACAAATATTTTTTAACTTTTGTTCTTGTTGCAGAGTGAAAAACTGTAATAATTTGTGCTTTGTTAAAATAAGCCTAAAGGAAAAAGTAACCGAAAAACCCAATCGTCCTTCATAAATTAACACAAATTACTTAGGTATATAAAATTATTTGAATATTAAAATGTAGTTGCACAAAAAATTCTGTGGGTAACTTGTTCTTAAAACACCTTTAATTACTTTATCAGATTATATTTTTAACTAAAACACGCCTTGTCAAAAAAACTTCATTTTCGCGCACGAACATACTATTTCGCGTAGTAAATGCCTAAATAACTATTAGCACATTGTAAAACCACATTACTATAAATAACTACCGCAATCGCGCAGTTTTTTATGCTTCTTGATTCACTGGAATAAATTAAAAATAAAACAGTTTATGAGAAAGTAATAAAATATATTTTATACCAGAAATGAAAACATATATATTGCACATGAAAATATACGATGCTGCCAAATTAAAAACAAGTATTTCAATGTTCTGAAGATAATATTTCGTTCATAATTAAAAATAAACTTTTCTTCCAGTTTTCTTAATTTTTACCTATACAATTTTCAGTTTGCATTTACTTAGTTGAAAATTTTGTTACATAACGTGTTGTGCACTTGGTGTACCGATATTTAGAAAACAATTATATTTTAAGGATGTTACAACTTCTGCTTATTATGTTTTCATTTATATTAATTTTATAGGTTACCTGGCCGCTTTTACGTAATTCATTTGACTCATTAAGTAGAAGTAAAATCTGGTTTTTAAAACTTGTATGGTACCAACATTACTTCTTTATTATTACAAAAAAAGCAAATGGACCCTGCTATGGTCGGAAACAAGTTTATTTAATGCGTTTTATCGTCTCGGAAATACTTTAAATAAAAAGCGCAGCGCTTTTAACAATAAATTGTACATACATTTTTGCCATGAATAACATAATGATTAAGATGTTTTTTTTTCAAGTTCTCTGGTTATTAAAGTTCGTCATAAGTACCCTAGATTTAAGTTGCAAAATAACTAAAATATTGTTAAAAAATTGCTTCGGGTAAAACCCACCAACAGAATAAGTTTGTTATACTCTAGATTTAAGTTGCAAAATCACTAAAATATTAAAAAAAAATCGAATCGGGTAAAACCCACCAATAAAATATATATTATGTAAGGCCTCCACACCTAAACTGTTGAGGTCATACCGTTCTCTTCTGGTTCAAAATGTAAGAAGACTACCTCATTTTATCCATTATGTACAAGTACAACGAAAAAAACTTGACCCAAATTAAAAGTTGAGTAACACGTTATTTTTGCAGGTGAGTCTCTGATCATCATTGGAATTTCAGCAGCAGTGTGCATTATCACAACCCTGTCTTTATCGGCCATTAGCACCAACGGAGAAGTCAAAGGAGGTAAACACCGCCGCAGGCGTAGTTATCCACGTGCATGTTTTCGAAGCGAGTCTGCTGAATAATAAATCAAATGAAGCACGTGTTGCCGAATTAAATGAAACCCGTCTGCACATTGTTTCGATTTCGTCAGTCGTCAGCGTGATTATTAGGACTGGCTAAGAAAACGTGCAACGGCGTACTTAATCCTAATGTACATAATATTAGTGGTAACTGAATAAATTATAACAAGTGCAGATCCAGTTTACATGATTTATTATTTGCCAAGCTCGTCTTGGAAAATGTACAGTCGTACAGGTACGCTATAAAAATTGATTCTAGGAGGAATATATTATATCATATCAAGATCACTAGGCCCCGAATTTGGAGCTTCAGTGGGTATTGTATTCGCTTTCGCGAATTCTGTTTCTGCGTCCATGAACACGATTGGTTTCTGCAATTCTTTGAGCGAATTACTTAGCAAATATGATCTTAAGATTATTGATGCTGGTATCAACGACGCCAGAATCGTTGGCTGTATCGCACTGGTAGTCATGATAATGATTTGTGCTGTTGGAATGGAATGGGAATCGAAAGCTCAAAACTTTTTAATAGTGGCAATTGTCGCAGCAATGGTGGACTTCGTCGTAGGGACGATAATTGGACCAACTTCAGATGAACAAAGAGCCCAAGGATTCACGGGTTTTAATTGTGAGTAAAAGTTTGCTGTCCCGAGGGAAATCGATAAGTGTCGAAGCTTCGATGTGTGTTATTGGAATTGGGTCTATTCAATTATTTTAACGAGGTGTTCTGAGAGCACATCAATCATTTCAGTGAGTTTTTTTTTTCTACGTGTAATAGAAGCTCTCGGTAATTATTGGAAGAGAGGAGCTCTTTAAGGAGTAGGTTAAATGTACTTAACTGATTATTATCATCCTTAACTTATCTAATCATGTTTTAAAAGAATTGGTAATGCCATAATTATTATACGGATAAAATAATGGCCTTGAATTAATCAAAAAGTGTTGGTTTATTTATGTAAAAATAATTGTCAAAACTTATTTGAATATCGTTGGGACACAGCCTGCGATAAACAAAAATTTACCTATCAAATGTAAAACGCACATTACCAGTGAGAAGAAAGTCCTTTAGTAACGTTATTGTCAAAATGTAAGTTAAGATAAGGCATACGTGACATCTAATAAAAATAAAATAAAGTTTAACATATATATTTGTATGTTACTATATTTTAAGCACAGTATAACTAAGAAGTAACGTGCATGTTAATTAGAACTAGTAACAATTACTCCGAACTTTTTTTCTTCCTCTGAAAATCGTGTTTTTAAATTTATTACTCCTATTTAAATTCAGGATGGCTAATATGAATTCTCATACTTTTTAAATAATACTAAACTTAGTACAAAGACTGCTTCCATCATAGAAAAACATCAAGTCAGATGAATGGCATCCCGATAATTTTTATTAAATTTTGCAGTGAAATACGGAGTTTTGGGAAAAATTTTTAAAATATTAAACATAAACCAAAAAAAGTATACATAATGTGTGTTTATCTGAAAATGAATAAATATCTCGATGTATATGTATTTCAAAGGTTACAGTGTGATAAGAAATAAAAATGAAACAATTAAAAAAATTACTGAATTTATTTCAGATGTGCCGTTTAGCATTAAGTTTTAACTCAAACGGCCACTCCAGATCTTTATGTTACGGAACTTATAAAAAATACAAACATTTGATATTTTTAAATCTGAATCCTCAATTCAAAGAAATGTAACTTAACTAAGATTAATTAAAGGTTAAATATTTATAAGTTATTTCATTGGCGTTTCTGAAATTTTCTGTTTACTGCGAAGATTGTTTAGAGCTATTTGCAAACAAAATAATAAATGAAAATGAAACACATTTTTTAATAATTCAACATCAACTTAGACTCCCACTATGTTATTTATAAATTCTGTTTAAATATTTATATACATATGGGACTTTAATCAGTTTTACAGTTTTAACAACAGTTTAACTTTTAATTCATTACTAAAACGTTCGTATGCAATTGTATGGTAGGTTTTTGTAGTGTATAATACCTTACACGCAGCGATCGTGAGTTCTGAATGTCATTTTATGTAGAATTTTTAGACGACTGGCATTTTGAACATTATATTAGATTATGAGAGTTTTCTGTATCCAATAATGCAATATTTTAGTAAACAATGTACATCACTTTTGTAATTTAAACAAAATTAATTGTAATTCAAACGATTGATTTGAGATACCGAAGGCGTTATTGTCAATAAAATATCCAAATGGTTTCAATTAATAACGTACATTATAATTTTAATCAATATAATTCAGTTCATTTGTAATTAACTTATTAACTATTTTTTAAAAGAACTTTTTTTAAGATTCTGAAACTAATTAGTTGCAATAACTCACTTTTTTATTGCCGTGAATTTTGGAAAAACCGATCGATAATTGTATTGCACACACACTTTACATTTTACGTTAATTAGAAAGTTTCTGTAGTGCACTCAGAGTAATCCTAAAGTTCAGGTTACATTTAAAGAACAAATTATATAAAAAATAAATCAGTTACTGCTTTAAAAAACTGCACTTCGTTCCTCAACAAATCTAAAAAACTATCGAACATTCCAACTCTTTTTGGCATCACCTATGACTCGTAAAAGACATAATTTTTTTTTAAGATACCACCTTCACAACAAATTGGTTTTCTGATTACCGGCGATCTGAAAACATGGACTACGATTTCTTCCAAGTTTTCGCCATATTCTTTCCTTCGGTGACCGGAATCCAAGCCGGTGCAAATATTTCCGGGGACCTCAAGGTAAATTAATTTCATCTTTTTTTATTACAACAAAATTAGCCATAAATATGCAAAACAGCGAAGAAATTTTGATCAACATTCACCCCTAGGATATCTTTATTTAATTATTTTAACATAGTCATTTTAACACGGAACAAGAGCCTCGGATCTTAGAATCCCACAAGCGACAATGAATGTAAAATTTTCTACAAAAAATGACGACTATCTTAATTTCATAACGAACTAATTGGAAATCCTAAAATGCATGAGAATTTTTACCATCTTAAAACAAAATTAAACGTTCTCTATCAACAGTTCATGTTTTTCCCGACTGCTTAGTCTTATAACATTTAATTTCAGGATCCAGCGTCAGCAATTCCTAAGGGCACATTTCTAGCTTTGGTTATCTCCATGTTCTCCTACGCCGTGTTTGTCTTCTTCGCCGGAGCTGCTTCTCTCCGAGATGCCAGTGGCAGTCTGCAGGACTTAGCGAATGGAACCCTTTCTCTTTGCACACCAGATTGCCAATACGGCACTTTCAACAATTATCAGGTGAAGACCGTCAATCATTCCACTAAAAATAAGCTCTTCGCGGAAGTGTTTATCGCGTCGAATAATATTATTCGTGGGCTTTTGAAGCGAACTTTTATGATTTATTTATCTGTGTTCTCGACAGCGATCGAGGTTAACGCGCATATCCAAAGCTTTTCAAAGGATGAGGCTTCAATTTATTAAAAGTGACACGACCCTTCGATTTGAATGTTTGCGGCGACACACCCTCATTTATTTACGTGACGTCAATTGTTAGTTGACACGTGTAATTTTCTCGGAGAGGGTTCTTGGATGGGAGGAAGTCTGAGACGAAGTTATTAAGGAAACGACTTTATCGCTGGCGGGCGAAGAAATTTTGACGCAGCGATGATTATTTTGGGATTACACGAAACTACAAAAGTCGGAAAATAATTTGTAGGCGTACGGATATCTACAAAGCCTTCGTTCATTCATTCTTTGTGACGTCCAAAATTGTTTACTTATTGGAATTAAGTGGGGCGTGGGTGTATTGGTTGTTTACATCTAAAAAAGTTGGAATGCGATATGGAAGGAATCATATTGAAGAACTATACACAACTTTCTCACTATAAAATAGTTCCGAAATCTTGTAAACCGAAAATACTTTTAAAATCAACATTGGATATGAATTCGATGGAGACTGCTGGATCTTTATTAGGCGTCAGAATAAGATTTTAAACTCAAAAAAGGTCAAAATTTCAGGCCAGTGTATTCCTTAAATGCGATCCCTCATGGAAATTAAATATATGTGCCAATATACGATCTACTTTAGTAATAATTAACTCATACAATAAATCGAACATCGTTCATTCTCACTAGCGAGCCATTCTTTGTATTGAAAATTGCCACTTCTGATCCAAGTCATTACGCACAAGTTTCTATTGTAATGATAATGATCGATCGCCGATGCCGCTACTGATTAAGGTTGTTTATATAAGTATTTTTTGCAATACGTTCGATAAACTAATAAGTGCATTATTATAAAGAGTTAAAATGTGATAAAGTTCAAAAGCCACTGGATCAATCTTTATGAAAATTTCGTATCTCATCAAGTACATCACTCACATACTGATCTCAAAGATGATAAACGCTAACTACTGTTGACGAATGTTTATTCTAGAATGTTCATCCTTTGAATTGTTCAACAACTTGGTTTCTATATTGAAATTTCCTCTTCGAATATTATTACGAACATAATCAAACCCTTACCAGCAAGCGGATGTATTCACGCATTTTCTCAGTGTTTGTTCTAAAAGCAATCAAGGTAAACATTTCCAGCACATTTACGAGCCACACTGCGAAGGGAATACTTAATCATGTGTTCATGTAATTTGACATGTTTTCGCTTAATTAAAAGGGATGACTCGGTGTAAAACCAACAACTGCAAAATCACTTTCAGAATTTGTGAGAGTAATAAGCTTTGGAAAGAGAGTGGCGATGATGAACAAATTTAACATCAAATGCACCTAAAACTGAAATTAATGTCACTTTTTAAACTATTATGTTTCAAAATATTCAAAATTTATGGGTGAAATTTTTCAGTTTGAGATAAAACTATTTGTTGTACAAGTTTTCTTGCAAACAAAACTTCCCTGGAAATGCGTTTCATCCAATATCTTCCATCTTACGTTTGGTTGATCAGTTAACCTAAGTAGGTATGCCTATACAAGAATATTATGAACTGGATCATAGATCCTCCATATCGTCAAAAATGAAGCCATTTTTTACGCGTTGTGAATTGTTGTTCCCCACCACAACACAAAAGTTACAGCAGGTTACATAACAAAATTTTAGGGTAAATTTAAAGTGAACATTATTTTTCGACAATAGTTGAATTGATTCAATTTTTCATTCAGCAATCCGTAGACACAGAACTCAAAAATAAATTTTGAAACTGCAGGTACCCGAAAATTTTATTAATAACAATAATAACGATAAAACTGGAAGTGTTACAAAATCAATGTTGTTTATGAGCAATATTAAGTAGAGCTTATTTTGTAGGTTTTCCGTTGCAAAATTTGTTTCCTGTCTAGGTACTAGTGTCTAAGGAAATTTGATTAAATTTATAAATAAATAGTGAAGTGCACTTTCGGTTCGAAAATAATTTGCTACACGCGTTTCGATACACAATACCTTCGCAAATGAACTTATGACTTTAAGGGAAAATATTGTCTGTTTTTAAAATCAGGTATAAAAGCCGACAATATTTCTCTCTTAATCGTACATACACAGTTATGTGTATTTCAGTTTTTTAAATTTTTCCATGAGGTTAATTTTCTTCAACTTGAGTGAATGCCACTAAATGGGTATTTTTCCTCGTAACAATGAGCCAGTAAGGTTACTTACTACAATATACGGTATACTAATTTCACGATAATTATATTTACTGGGAGATTTGTATTCAGTAAGTTGTTCCTTAATTGACATGATAGTGCCCCGAACACGTATAAACCTTTACATGATTGTTTATTGAGAATAGTAATAAGTACCTACTTCAATTCAACTCTCATTGAAATCATTTAAAACTGTCGAAATATCATTAGCACTGACGTCATTACCCGATACGATCAACATTTCAATAATGTAACACGTTTTATAACTTTCGCAACACGCGACGTAAGATAAAATACGGTTCTTCCGCTTTTTTTCCAAAAAAAAACCTGCAAGGCAAACAAGTATTGACGTCATCCGAAATTAGTCCAAGTAGTTTTGGGCAAAGTTCGCAGAAAAATAATAACTTGAAATAGACAGAGAATACAATTTTGAAATATCGTTTTAATCTTTTCGCCATAATTTTATTTTAATCCAGTCTGACCTACATCTTATAAGTACTTTGACACCGATAGTGTTACCTTAACCTAAATCTTTTTCCGTAAAAATTGCAGCAAGGACAAGGTCCTTATTCTTCACAGACAAGTCTTACATTAAATAACAATTAACAGAAATCACTTCGCATCTTTTACTACAATAACGTATTTATTTATCTTAAAATTATAGCATGGGTTCTCGAAATGTTCATTGTTTACGAGACGACGACACTTTCGATTAAAGGTGCGAAACAATGATAAACAAGATGATTTCGTATCATAAACAATTATTAGAATCAATGTACAAGTGTTTGTTCAAAAAATACCACGTAATTACAGTGCTTTCCTCAATGGAAAAATATATTTATTTAAGAATTATAAAGTAAAGCGTAGTACAAACAGTATTAAAAAGCGACTTTGACATGAAATCCGAGTAAACAAGTCTTCACAATGTTTTGTTAAAATAACGAAACTTAAGAGGTTTCAATTCAAACAGTTTAGTTTTCCGCGCATTCAATAAATATTTTCCGTGTCATGAACGGATGCGGTTATTTATATCTGCATAAAGCACCGTAAACAAACCGTCTTAAGAAGTTTCGGATCCAAGTTTTCATGAGTATGGGAATATGAATGTGTAAAACACCTTTTACAGATGATGGAAATTATGTCGGCGTGGGGACCTTTAATCTATGTCGGATGTTGGGCAGCTACCCTTAGTACGGCCCTGACGAATTTATTATCCGTCCCAAGGTTGATACAAGCTCTTGGAATTGATAGGATTTATCCGGGATTAATTTTCTTTTCGAAAGGATATGGAAAAGCCGGCGAGCCATATAGAGGATACGTCCTCACTCTGCTCGTATCTGCTGCATTTCTGTTGATAGGTAAAATTCGATTAGCGATAAAGTGGAAAAATTTTATTTGTCTCTTTTAGGAGAGTTGAATGCGATTGCTCCCCTCATTTCCAATTTCTACCTCGCTTCGTATGCCCTTATCAATTTCTGCACTTTCCATGCGGCGCTTATTAAACCGCTGGGGTGGAGACCAACATTTAAAGTATTACAAAAATGTAAAATTACTTGAATCCAGCTAATATCGTTGAAATTTTAGTATTATAACACCTGGCTGAGTCTTGCCGGTTTCATTTCTTGCGTCGTCATAATGTTTCTAATCAACTGGCAAACTTCCTTGATCACATTTGGAGTTATTATTGCGCTGTATTTGCTTGTTGTCTACAGAAAACCAGGTAAATGATGAAACAATTTGAAAATAGAAACGTATACTTTAGAATTGTTACATTTTCAGACGTTAATTGGGGCTCTTCCACTCAAGCTCAAACTTACAAAACCGCCTTAACAACAGCCCATAGGCTAATAAACATTGGAGAACACGTGAAAAATTACAAACCTCAAATTCTCTGTCTTTGTGGTTCTCCATCTTCTAGACCAGCACTCATCGATTTTGCCAATCTTATTACGAAAAATAACTCTCTTCTAGTTATTGGAGATGTGACAGAGGTAGTTATAATTAAAAATTATTTCACTGTTTTTCTTACTAAATTGCTATAGGTTCGTCTACAACATCGTGTGCGTTCTAGCAGAATTCAAAATGTTTACTCCTGGCTTAGAATAAACAAAATCAAAGGATTCTACTCGCTCCTCGATCATACCCAGTTTGAAAACGGTGCAAAAGCTCTCTTGCAAACTACTGGAATTGGAAAACTCAGTCCGAACGTCTTGATGATGGGATACAAAAATGATTGGAGAGGGTGCACCAGTGAGGAACTCATGGCTTATTTTAATGTCTTGCAGTAGGTACCTGATAACTGCAAAAAGCAAAGTGCTAGTTCTAAAATTTTAGCGCCGCTTTCGACCATCGACTCGCTGTCGCCATACTGCGATTGAAAGATGGTCTAGATTATAGCAAACTAATGGGGGATGAGTTAAATGGAACACCAGCTGACATTTCCATGTCGCAGCCACCGACGGTTGATTTACGTTCAGGCTTAGCAGCCAACACAATGATGCATGCTGACTCCAATCTTAGTTTAGCTGATCTTGGGAAATCGGACACGGCAACTCCCAAAAATACTATAAGTAAGAACACAACAATATTGGGTCCACAATATAAGAGATTCCTTGCAGATGGCGTAAAAAATGGCAACAGTTTGATAAACAGCATGTTTGCAAAGAAACATGCTTCAAAGGTAACTGATTCTACAACGTCGAACAGCAAAGTGCACCAAATTCCCACTTTTGCGATGGATAATATGACTCTGTTTAGGAACAAACAAAATAAAGGAAATATTGATGTATGGTGGCTTTATGATGACGGGGGCTTGACCATGCTTTTACCATACATTATATCGACCAGACAAGCTTGGTCAAATTGTAAACTCAGAGTCTTCGCTTTAAGTACAAATAAAAACGAAATAGAGGAAGAAGAAAAAAGGTAGGCATTTATTTAAAAATCAGCTGCGATTTCTAGTTGATTACTTTTTAGTATGGCGTTTTTGTTGTCAAAGTTCCGTCTAAATTACTCAAGTCTAAAAATAGTTTCCATTTCGGACAAACCCCAAGAATCTACTATTAAATTTTTCAATGATATGATAAGTGAGTTCCGAACAGATGAAGAGGTTGGAGAAAATGGTAAGCAATGGGAGAATCAAATACATATATTATGTTTTCATTTCATAGAATGTAAAGTGTCTGAGGCAGAAATCGCATCACTTCAAGACAAAACATACAGACAACTTAGACTGAGGGAATTATTGTTAGAAAATTCTAGCGACGCAAATCTCATCGTAATGTAAGTGGTTCCCTTCGACCAAAATTGTCTCTACCATGCTTGCATCAATTTCAGGTCATTGCCAATGCCTAGAAAAGGAAAACTTTCAGCTCCTTTGTATATGGCTTGGTTGGAAGCTTTAACGCGAGATATGCCGCCATATTTATTAGTTAGAGGCAACCAACAGTCGGTTCTTACTTTCTACTCTTAAAAACAATTTGTAATGAAATGTACTTATTTACACCAAACACTCTATTAATAATATTAAGTGTTAGATTCTAGATTGTGAATAATATTTATTTTACTACGTATTATTTAATGTTACAATTTTTAAGTATTAAAATTTTATAAATTTGTACAATGACAAGACTTGATTAAAAGATTTTCTTTTGTACGGGCGTATTTCATCAATCACCATTATAAAAGGCGCATTTTACACTTTCGCTTAATGTTCAGATTCGGGATGTGTACCACATAATAATCAATACCATAGTTTAACTTACAACTTTTATTTTCAGGTTTTTATCAATATAAAGGTTACAATTCTTTCAACAATTTTTACAATAATTATCAATATGAGTTATATTCCCAAGACAATATTATACAAATAGTATTCTTCCTGTCAAATCGAAATTTTACTTAATGACAATATATACAATAAAATGATTAAAAATAAATAAATAATAGAATGTAAAATTAAAGCAAAAAAGCTGCTACAAACTGGCAGTTAGAACCGAGTATTACACACAAAAAAAATATCACAATTAGAATACGCAAAAATACTAATAGTACGTCACGTTGATTACAAAAACATCAAGTGATTGATAAAAATAGTGGGCCTTTTGTCAGTTGTTGTTACCATTTGAACAGGCACGTTAATTATTATTAATATTTGAGTATTATAAATTTATTTCAGTAAACGACAAGGATAGCATAGTAAAACACATTTTATAACGTAATATGGCAGCACTACAGTTCTTGATCGCTTATAATGAAGTGCTTTACGCAGGTGTCCCTTACCCCCATAAATCATATGCAAGCGTTCAAAGACTGAAGGAAAACACTTTCGGCTTCAGATATGTGCAAATGTATTGTAATAAATTTGTTGAAACTCAAAAAGTCGGATTTACATCCGATTTGCACAGAAAAGTACAATAAATTGAGTATACAACGGGTGGTCGAAAAAGTTTTTAGATTAGAGTTGGCCATGGAAATATTTGTCATGTCTTTGATTAAACTACAAATAATTCGGATTTTTGACATTTGCATTTTAATCAAAGACATGACAAATATTTCCATGGCCAACTCTAATCTAAAAGTTTTTTAATCACTCGTTACTTTTTCTTTTTATATAAGGGTGAGATTCATAATCGTTCCTTGAAACAAACTGATACTCACCTCGAACTTGACCCATTAATTTGCCATTCATAAAGATTTCTCAACCTCCATTTTGTTGCTGTCATTAACTTTTGGGTTTTAATGGGTTCTTGCCTTAAATTTTTTTTTCGCTATTTGCAGCCGGACTACTGCTTCCTTTGCTCAGTTTAAGTTAAGGAACAACTATGAATGCAATAATAATTTTAACGCAAACTCAACCTCACCGTCAACTCAAGTGAGTTGAGTTTGAGTGGAGGATGAGTGACGACTATGACTCTCACCCTAAAATTTCAAAGTACACCCCTGCGTCTCATAGCAGGTGGCGAGCGGCAAACGTAATGTTAATTACATCCATTGTGGTTTCTTTTCAATGGAATAAATTGGCTCTTACAGAAAAAGCGCCGATTTTTCTGCTGGCATAGAACCTTACAAAATATGCTTTACTATACAACACAAAATATTGTCACCTCCTTTTTCAATTTAGTACAATGTTAATTGGTGGCAATCACCTCTATGAAACAAACGTACCAAAACAAATTATGAGCCAAAAAGGAAGTTTGCTCATCTTTGTGAGAGTATGTAGTACGTGTGCATAGAACATTACATTTGAAATGATTTCTGCAATATTTATGCACTACTGAGTGAGAAAAGCACCTTATACAAAATCAAATTGAGTTGAACAAGGCTCCCACGCTATGCGACAGGGCATACTGTACTACACGGCTGTGGGAGTCCTCGATTGTCAATGCCATTTCGCCTTCTGCGCAAAAATGTCTGCTCGAAGATTCTGTGCGAAACAGATTCCCAGAATCTACAAAAAAAATCATGTAAGGTAAGGACAGTTTATCTTACAATAGATACATATAGGAAATTCGTTAAAAACGAAGCTAAACCAAAACGACACTTACTTGCAAAAATAAAACAACAAAACTACAAGTGGCTAAAGAAATCATATTTCGCTCTATCCATTCTTCAGTCGCTTCCAAACACCCTTTCTCATTTATTATTTTTGACACATCATAATTCTGAAAAGCACAAAAAGCTGGTGATAAATAAACATAAGAAAACAAAAAGGTAGAAGCTATAGGTAGTACAATGAAATGAGTAGGGCGACAGATACCTGAAGCACCATAATTCCGACTTTAACAGCCGCTACAGGTACTAAATTACTTTCGATCCATTCTTCGCCAGCACGCAAACAGCCTCTTTCAAATATGTGTCTTTCTCCAGGCTGCATTACAGAACAAATCACAAAGCTAGCAATATTTATTTCCTAAATTTTACTACAGGTTTAACATCACTTAAAATTGTGTTATCTCAGGCGACGATACTAGAAACATAAGGTGCACCCAATGTTTGCGGCCCTCCGATGTTTAATAAATCCACCCAATACAAAATTGTTTTAACGTTAAAATGCAGTTGCATACAAATTTTGTGTGTTACTTTGTTGGTGAAACGTTTTTGACGTCTTCGAATTATTTTCTAACAATGCTAGGCGTGGTTAAAAAGCTTCGTTCTGTGCACAAAGTACCATTTCGTGTACTCGTATAGTCAGTTGTATGTAAAAAACTAACGAATTTTCAAAAAGTTTTCAGATTAGGGTAGGATGGAAATATTTTTTTTTCGTTTTCCGACTCATAAATGATAGATTGTCTAGAGTAAAGGGGTGAAAACTGCGAAGAACGATGTATTTATTTTTTTATTTGCTGTTCCAACAATCCATTTTGATTTTACCTCTTCAATTTGTAGACATTGACATTTGTAAGGTTTACTAGTTTAATCAAAGAAATGTAAACATTTCCATGGCCTATTCTAATCTAAAAACTATTTGATCACCGGTTATTTATTATTTCAGTGACACATGAACCATTTTTTTTATTAAAAAAAACTATTAAATGATAATGTTGCATATTCCGAAAGTAGGTGTTAATTTTTTAAACATATTATGTAGCTAATCTTTGTGTAATGCTGGAAGCATTACACAAAGATTAACAAAACATTTTAATTTTTATTAAAAAAAAAATAGGTTCTGTGCTTCAGAAATTGATAACAAAAAATATTAAAAAAAAAATCACGCATAAAAGAGAAAAAAATGGCTTGAGAATAAAGTTTCAGTTTTGATATTACCCAATACCATCAATATATATTTTTTAATATACAATGCTTTGATAAATATTTCTTACAACCAGTGACCTCTGGTATTTCAAACTGTTGCAAATTTGTCACTTTTTTTTGTAGTGGCATACATTTAAAAATATATTGTATTTTTTAAAGAAGTGGACAAGCTACCATAAAAAAATGTGTATGTCTGTAGAAATATATATTATGAGCTGCAGAATTTTGTCGCTCCTTTATGAAACAAAGAACAGTAATTAATTTGGTTAATAAATCATGTGTTACAATAATAAATTACGACACTGAAGTGGTGTTACCACTATAGTATGCACTCCGAAAGAGACGGAACAAATCAGTGCCCTTTTGGATGTTTTTATTCTCAAACTTAATGGTGCTTCAAAAATTTTTAGGATTATGAAAGATGGCACAGACCACATAACCACAAAATAGATTTAGTTAGATTTTTTTTCAATACTATACACTAAATGCGTCTAAAACAACATTATTTGCTGAATGTACACATTAAACATACCATAAACGAGGTAAATATACATAGTATAATGATTATTTGACTTGATTATATCATTTTGGTTTCTTGCAGACAAGATTTGTACCTTGCAGATACAAAAAATTGTGAAACTAGGAACAATCGTGTAATTATAATTAATGCAGCGCAAATTGTATTTTAAAAAGTCAATCAATAAATGATAATTAAGACATTCTAAATCAGAGTAGTCTTTCGCACTTCAAAACCCGTTCTTTTTTTCTGTGGAAAAATAATTTGCCACAATTACGTCACAATTACCGTATAATATATTTATATAATATTCACTCCGCAATTTATGCTTGTGAAAGTTTTCTAAACAATTTATTGCATCAATTACTATTCTGTTTACGTCAGTTTTCAAAAACATGGCATGAACAAATGTACTTACAAAACCTGGTTTCCGTACGTCATATCCGCATTGTTTGTTTTTGATAATCTCCTGTAACAAGTTATCCAATGAATAATTAATTTATAACAGTCTACGAATAATTTTACATTTGGTTTACGCTTGCAGCATGAAAATGGAACTCCACAAGCTTCTCTACTACCAACATCACGTGATGAACAATTGAAATAATTATTGCGATCCCAATCTTTTGGTCCTTCAATACCACAGCATTGCAACTAAAATTATTTAATAAAGAAACGTTACAATTCACTGAAAATAAAGAAGTACCCAATCTTCTTGAATCCAGTCAATTAAATTTTGTTGGTCTGGATCTTCTCTGTAGTGAATGATGAATGTTTGAAATCCAATGGTTGCCTGAGACTTGATCTGGAATTTATTGTATACTTTTTAATTGAACATAAAAAGGTGAATGTTATTCAAAATGTTTATAAGCTGTTACAGCAAAACAAGTTTTTACTTTCTTTATAAATTATAAAATCCTTATATAAGTTACGCTTATTAATGTTACGCTCCACTGATAAAGAGATGCTTAGTTTTGTGTTCTTGACTAGATTTACTTATTGGCTATTTTTCATATTATATTTAACAGACAGTATTTTTTAATCAATACAGTTCCATGAAGAATATGAATAAGAGTTCTGAATACTCATCTACTGATTGTTAGAATGTGGTTATGACTCACCCAATCCTTAAATATGAATCCAAGAATTCCGGCAGTCATTTCAAATAACAATAACACAGATAGAAATATGGCATACTGAAACATAAAAATATACAAAAACTCATTTACGAAAATGTTTAACTGACTGTTGCTAAAAGACATGTATTTTCGCGTAATGCTCCTACACATCCAGTAAAACCTATAATGAAAGTTACAGTCCCTAAAATAAATACAAATTAGAAACGTGTTTTTGATATCACTTTAATTTATTACCAATGCAAATTAAAATAAACGCGGGATCGAGAGCAACGTTTGCTACCTTTCCTAAATTATTAAAAATATCTTTCTCACTCCAAGCCCAAACTCCTATAGTTAAAATCCCCAGCCCCAATAACTACAAGTACACATTATATGAGGGCATTTATTACTTCCTGTTGTCTTACCCAAAACAACACATTAAATCCGAATATCATGTACTTTAAACAGCTGCTCACTTCGCTCGTCTCTCTTCTGTATTTCCTGACTGGGACTGTGGGTAAACTCACTGCCATTTTCCTCCCTTTAATAATTATATACATGAAGTAAACAATTAAGGAGGTACTATTGTAACGTAAGTGTTAAACATGTCATTCTTGCAGTGGCCTTGACTGAAATTTAGAGTACAAAATAAATAACACGCAAAGGAAATGATCAATGTTTGACTTACAATGCATTTCACATCTACATATAAAACTGTAATACTTTCACACACCCACTGGGCAGGAACTGCTATTTAGATCAACGGGTGTTTGTTGCTGTACTTATTGTTGACTGTGTTGACACAACACAGGTGTAATTGACAGTGACGTTTACAACTGATCGATTGATTTTGAGATGTAGCTATCTGTTTTAACAGCAAAGTACGTAATGTTGCCTGACGCCGATAGATAGCGACAGTAGCTACAACTTCTGTGGGAAGAGTGTTTTGTGATTCCGAGCATGTTATTGGTTTTTATTGTTCTGTGGTTTACGCAAAATAAGTTTTTCTACCGCCCACGTTTTTTGGTTTTCTAATAGAGCTATTAACGCACGCAAATGACGTCACAACAGTTCGTTAATAGCCGAAAGGCGTTCTTTAATAGATCTGGTGTAATTTAGATCGGTAAGATTGGTAGCAATGACGAGAAATGTCAGGTGAATGTCAGTGGCAAATCTAAACTTAAAATTTCTCATGTTTCCGGACGCGTAACTTCTTCGCAAGACATTTTAACCAATTTTAAATTACAAAAACTCGAATTGGTTCGAATTACAATTGTTGTTGTGAAAATTAGAACCTCAAATATTTCGTGGTTAGTGTCAGACCGACCCATCGCCAACCACGACAAAAGTCCCCAGATTAAAAAAAATGCAAATTTCAATTAAATTTTGGGAAAAAACGTGTGCGGTAGAAAAAATAGTATAAATAACTCGTTCATAAGGCCATTGAGGCACTCATCCTTTATATAACTCGCGGCTTCGCCGCTCGTTCTATAAACTTGGATTCGTGCCTCAATATTTGCCTTATGAAACTCGTTCTTTAATATACTATTGTTGTTTGTCGTCTTTCTTTTTAGCATCCTTTGTGGTGTTCAAAATGTAGACTTTGTACATGACGTGGATTGTTTTTAAGTGTCTATATTTTTTCTCTAAATTTTTTGTAAGAGTTTATAATAAATTTGAGCTCATTATTTCAGGATTATCATTTTAGGACTTTCCAGGAAAGAGCGCAATTACAAACTTTAAAGTAATTCTGCAATAGTCATAATATAATTATACTCTGATATATTTTAATGTTTCGAGATTAACGATCAGTTGAATTTAAGTTTTATGTTCATAAAAGGAAACGTTTTTACGTTTTTGACGTATTCGGCACCCTCTGATTTTGGTGTCCTGCCTGAGGGGATGCCCATTTTATCCACCTGCATACAATTTGACGATGAAGTTATGCTTGACAATTACACATTTTTTAATTTGTTTATAGTTATATAACGTCTAAAATTAATACTTAATAGTTATATAAATTTAATATAACTAATTAAAAAACAAAACTAAACAATAAGAGTAGTTTTTCTTTGTGTACAAATTGTACCTACAGTTTTGATGCCTATTATTATATTTTCGCAATGGAATGAAATTAATGAAACTGATTTAAGAGTATGTACTTTGATCGAATTTTCTTCGCCTTTGAAACAAAATGAATTTAACTTTTATGTTTTTTATGGAAACCGTCTATAAGTCGAGATAAAGATGTGGAAATTGTTTAACTACATACAGAGAAAGAAGTATGATGCTATGCATATGTTTCAAGAAGCATAGAATGCTCTGTCCCCGATAAAAAAAAACCCATAAGTGTAGATTCAGTCAGACTCAAACATAATATCTTCCGCAATATGATCACGTTTAGGAGGCATCAATAGATACATTTATCATTCTCACGATTATCTTAACACATTTGCAAGATTTTCCAAATTATTACGATGAGGAATTAAGAATTCAAAAACGTTTTACTACCATGAAGTCACGGGCATGCTTAAATTCTCCCTTTTTTCACACGTTTAATCTTCTTTTTTTGAAGTTTGTTATTTTTGTTGATAGGAACGCAACGGAATAATTTACATCGGTGATAGATATTTTTTATAAACATTGAACTGGATGTCCTCAAATTAAGAAAATAACATTAACGATTTCATTACAACAACAAAGGTTATTTGATCACATAATACAGGTATCTTCATGCGTGGACAATTACGTGCTGAAATATATAGTTTCTAATGTGTGTTCTAGAGTTGTCTACACAGCATAAATACCAAATATCTATCAATATTTGTGATATTTTTTTGTCAGGTTGGCGACCATATTGAAAATTTTGTGATGGAGTAACCAACGTCCAATTCAATTTTTGAGCACAAATTCAGTAGCTGCCATTTTTTCATTGGGTTTTAGCCGTGCTGATGTCAAAACTGACAACTGTGAACTGACATATTAACAATGCTACCAATAATTTAGAATTGCGAACCCAAAAATTTGCTTCAATCATTACTAGTCACCTGGTCTCTCATATCGTATTTTATGTATTACTTGGTCATGTAGAAACGCATTTTTTGTGAAAACTGTTACTAACAAGTAAAATGGAGCATATCGGTAAACAACATAATATGATTTCTTGAAGGACTACATGAAGCACGACGTTAATGAGCATGTTTATTTAAAAACTTAAAATTGTACAGGTAGGTCTTGAGAAGATGATTTTAATGTTTTTCTAGTTCCAGCTAGATTTACAAAGTTTCAGGTGATTTGGGTGAAAACAGAAACGTTACAGATAAGGATATGACAGCATGACTAATGAGTCGTGTCATGTTGTCCCCTTTATGCTATTATGTTTATGTACACTACAATTTTTTGCTAAATGAGTTATATATTATAAGTATAATATTATAGTTAGAAAAAAATTCGGATTTAACGCAGACTATGTATCGCTATTTTTTCATATTCCATATTTGGATTTAAATTTCAATTACTTGGACGACAACGAACACTTCAACATGCTATACAGATTATTAGAATAAATTATTTCCTTGATATGTTTTACACTTATATTTTATGTTACCTATAGTTGTCAGCATGGAATGAAATGAAATATTCTTCGTTAAAGAAATTAAAAAAAAATAAATTTATTTGATGAATTGTTACACTGCTCTACAGGGCCGGCTCTAAGGGACCAGGCGCCCCGATGCAACTTACTGTTCAACGCCCTCTAAAAAATTTTTGTAAAAAAAAAACAAATAAAATTTTGTGATCACATATTTTTTAGAGCGATATTTTTATTAACAAACATACATAAAATTATGATGAATCAATCTTAATATATACAGTATGTCCCCGGTATGAGTTCACAAGAGGAAAAAAAAATGTATTTTCTATTTTACAAAAAAATGACATAGGAATAACATATTTTGCTTAATTCAAAAGAATAAATCTGCAATTAAAAGTTCAATATTCTTGGTCTGTACTTTTAAAATTATTTTTTTCATATTTCTAAGTTCTTCGTTACTTTTAGTTTTTTTTTTTTAAGGACACAGCCTGATAATATTGCAGATTTATTCGTTTTGAATTAAGCTAAAAATGTTACTCCTGTGTTATTTTTTTGTAAAATAGGAAATACAGTTTTTTTTCCTCTTGTGAACTCAATCCGGGGACATACTGTATATAAAAGTATTTGTCCTGACTGACAGACTGACTGATTTATCAACGCAAAGCCTAAACTACTGAAGTTACAAACATGAAATTTGGACAGTAGGTACATTTTGTGTTATAAGCACCCATTAAGAAAGGATTTTTTGGAATTTCGCCCCTACCGGGGACAAAAATTTGTGAGTTTTTAAGTTAGACGGGTTCATTAAGGAGGGGGGAATGAACGGGATGAAAAATGATTTGTGAATTCCACGCAAGCGGAGCTGCGGGCAACAACTTTTCTACATAGTATAAGTATAAAAATATTTATATTACAAAAATTTTTCAATTTTTAATATTGTAAAACTGAAACGATTTCAAGGTTATTTTTAATTTAGACTTACCTCAATGTTATTCCAAATTTAAATTTAAAATTAATGATGACAAAGAGCCACAAAATGATACAACAAAACCAAATTCGGTTACAAACAGGAACAGTGAAAAATATAACAAAACTGTTGAACAATCAGCACAACCAACCGACTAGACTTGGAAAATAAAATTTTTAAGTATGTGCCGACATGGAGTTTTATGGTAAAAACAAACGTGACAAATGTTAGGAAAAACATCTGGTTTTGGTCATACCGCTGTCTCGTCAAATTGTTACCCAGATAATGCAATCATAAATCTGGTATTTTTTGTCAGTATTGATCTAAAGGTCCAATCACCCAACCCAAAGGTGCACTGTTTTTCAATTATTACAGTCAGAAAGTAACTTCTTATGATCTGTTTTTGTGAACCACTCCCCATAGTGGGATATTAAACTGCAGCTTTTTCTGAAAAGTTTTCGATGGGCGCTTTGGTCTGTTCCTGCTATAATATTTTGTACGTAGTGATCCAATGTTTATTTTTATAGAGTTAATATAAAAGCATAGGCGTTGCCCGCCGCCCGGCGCCCCTTGCCATGGGCGCCCCGATGCGGTGCATCTTTCGCTTACCGTGTTAAGCCGGCCCTGCTGCTCTAAATTTTCAAAATTTCTTTTTCTAACATAAACACAGTTACATCAAACATCTGAAAAAGGTAATTAAAAAATTATATTTAAAACGAAAAAACACCTGTTTTAAAATAATTAAAACACACCGTTTTTTATTGACGAACATCTCTATATACCTATTTCTAGTGATCAACACATTCGCGAATTGTTAATCGTATGAAACAGGATTAATCGTATGAAACTATGGTTAGAAATGTATACTTACATTCAGTTTTAATTAATAAACAATTTTCATTATTTGTTCGTTTTTTAGTAAATATCATCCTTTATCATTTCTTTATACAACGTGATGTGCATCCCTTAAAACACTACCTAACCAAAATTTGTCTTCACCATCAAGGTTGCTGATGTAATTTTTGTTTGCAAAATTAACTTGAAACATCTAACATAACATAGGTAGGTACTGTTTTATCTGTAGTTTTTAAAATTTTGTATATTTTTGTTGTATTATTAAAATATATGATATTATTATAATTATGGAAATACCCCTAGTCAAAACACCTTAGGTGATATCCTCTAGCTACCTGGCGTACGTGTTCTCTCCTGTGTTAAAAATAAAATTATTGTACGTACATTTTCCGAAATTTTAAACATCTCGGCAACCAATTCCCTTTTCCTG